TCGTGAGATGTCCCGGAAACGGAAATACCGACAACTTTGCAGCGGCATCAATGCCTACTATGAACCTGCCTTACGCTACTGGAAGCGGACTCGCACATTCTTTCAGCATGCAGTCATCCCCCTCCAACTCAACTCCGACACTTTGACCACTCGCTCCACAGAAATCTCTTTCCAACAGCAATACCGCCCTCAACTCAATCACCCGTGGATCAACCCTCTACTTCGACGACACGGTCTTCGTGTACCTCAATACAACATTCCCACGACTCGCCACGGTCCTATTGGCATGACACGTCTTCATCGGCATCAACGTCGAACCGAACGTCATCACGCTCAGGAGTGCATCTTGGATCTACACTTACTCAAGACCCTAGACGTTCTTCACCTTCTCCATCGATTGGGAAGCGACACCAAAGAGAAGTTCTTCACCTCTCGGGTACTTCGCAGTCACTCCGCCTCCCAGGAGATTCTCTATCTCCTTTGGTTCCAACACTTTCACATTGATGAACCCTGGCGCTCACGCGCCGCCGCTCAGCTCAAACTGATCTTCCGCTTTCGCAACCTGATGATTCCACCAGCCCAGGCCACCCTCAGACTCTTCCAACTATCTCACGGATTTCTACAACGTTGTCGCCAACATTTTCGCGGTTTTCTACGACTCCACTCTCACCTTTTTCCACCGCTACAAGTACCAGCTTCACCGATCATTGAGGTCAAGTCTCACACATTGGAACACTACCTCTTCAACTTCCGAACTCTTCTACGACAGTGGACCCCATCCTTTTCACCCCAATGCAGCTGCCATCGAATCCGACATGATTTCCCTCGACATCCTGATTCCAACCACATCATTGGCTTCGCCTCAGAGATTTTTCCGGGTTTGCTACTTCCGGAAGCCAATCTTCAAGACACTGTATGGCCCGAGGAACGTCACTTTCTGAACCACTCCGTCACTCAGATGGACCGCTGGCTACATGCTTGGCAGCTTCCCTCTCACCTTCACATTGAATGGCAACACTTCTTTCGGCAGGAATGGGAACGTCATGTTGAACGTCAAATGACTGGCTGGTTCACCGCTGAAGTTCAGGCATTTCGCCGCTTCACAAAAGGCTGTATCGTTGGACCTGGTGACCATTTTCCACACACCGCCATCCTCCTCAAGACTTTCATGCCAACTCCTACTACATCTACACCAGTCTTCCAACCACTACGACACGGCATCCAGTTGATCAGGAACCGCCTACGTGACACATGGCCACCTCACCTTCTTCAACGCTACCGTTGGGGCTTACATTGGGATCGTCGTCTACCTTCCGCATACATCCTCCCAAAACATTCTCGGGCCTGGAGCAAAGCACGACCAATAGTGTCTTACACACAGACAGCCTGCGCCCCACTCAGTCAGACGGTTGCCTCCGCCATTTACTGCCTTCTACAGATCGTCTTCCCGGAGTTGACCGCCCTCTCGGACGTTCTACCTCTTCTCCGACGCCTTTGGAAGATTATACTGCAGCAGTATGACCCCACGGACGACCTTGTTCTATTTCAACAAGACATCGCCGGGCTCTTCAACTTCGTCACCCATACCCGCATGGTTTCCACTGTTGAATTCTTGATCACACGCTACGCTGCTCTCCAAGGTCTGGACCTACAAGACGATCCCATTCTCAGCGTGGCTCAACACCAACAGGAACGTCTTCAACGGATCTTTCGGGGACGCTGGCGCAAGACCTCTCGATCCTATCACCCTATCCACCTCCGTGACCTACCCAACTTGGTGTTTCACTTGCTGGAGTCCTCTTACTTCACAGTGGGACTGACAGTCTTTCGACAATGTCAAGGAGCTTCCATGGGATCACCTTTGGCACCTGCCTTATGCAGCGCTGTTGCACTCTTCCGGGAATACTGCTTTCTACGATCTTTCCCGTCCTCTTCCTGGCGCTATGCCACGGGGCTGGCACTTCGGGCACGCTACGTCGACAATGTCTTCTTCCTTGGACCTGCCCATATGCTCCACACCGACTCCTTCCAGGCCATCGCTCAGCCGTTCTTCTACGGCAGACCACTTGAGATGGAGTATGTCGCGGATGAGACATTGCTCGGTTTTGCTCTTTCCACCTCTCAACGCACTATTGCCTTTCGGCAACCACCCCACCTCACATTGATCCGCAGCAATCTAATCGTACTGCCGGCTCTCCGGACATGGCTCTTGCTGGCTTCTTCACACGTGGCATCTTGATTTGCCGCCTGACTCGCCCTCGGGACTTGATCCTCCCTCAACTCACGGACTTGACTCAACAATACCTCGACAAAGACTTCACTATGGTTCAACTCCTACCCCTTCTTCATCAACTTTGTCATCGCTTTCATTTACCACAACGAGCACTTCACTCCCAACTTCGGTTTCTCAGTTTCTCTTGATGCAGCACTTGAGACCATTCCTCGCTTGAAAATACTCCCTGCGCTCACATTGATGTCCATCACTACTGCTATGATGCATTTTTCGAACCACACATTTTTCCTTTTCTGTTTCTGTTATCTCTCAGCTTCTCGGCTCAAAAGCGTGCTCCTCACCTTTACCCTTGGTTTCTACCTGGACTATGTCACAATCGACCACTTCCGACCTGGTCTCTACTATCGCGACGCAACTCAACATTGTCATTGTCGCACTTCGCCTATTGGTGGATATGATTCAAAATCCGGATGCTACCTCCCCCGCCGGCATGACTTCCGGTTCTTGTCCTTCCAGACCACCAGCTAGCCCGGCATCACCGTTGTTTCGGACCACCACGAGACCTTCTTTCAGTTGGGCACCCTGCGAACAACCTGCATTTCGTTCAGAGCTCTCACTGACTCGTCAGAAGACTCCATCGCCGACACCGACATCCTCAGCTGGGAAGCGTACTCCCCTTGCCCACCACTCCTCCCCCACTTTCGGTCCCTTCCTTCTCCTTTTCCCCCTCCCTCTTCTCCTGTCCCCTCACCTTCTCTTCCTGTCGCTGATGGGGCCACTCCCTCTTCCCCTCCCCCACTCTCCTTTCCTCCTTCACCCGTTCTTTCCCCTCCTGACTTCGCTTACCCACCGCCCTCCTCTCAGGCTCCTCCTCCCCCCTCCCCTTCCATCTCCTGCTCCCTCGTTTCTTCTGCCCCACACGGCCCCCTACCCTCGGCCCCGCAAACGCCGCTCCCTTTCCCCCTCTCCCTCCCCTCAGCACCACTCAGACACTTCTTGGGACGACGATTGGAGCACCAAAGACGATGATCTCCTTCTCAGCCTCAAATGCAACGAACGACTTCGACCTAGCTGGCGCTACATCACCACCAAAATGCAGCGCCCAGAGTCTCAGATCCGCGCTTGGTGGGCCGAACTTCTTGAACTACAACGACTGGCTACATCATGATCTTCGCCGATGATTTTTGGACCCACTCACTCACGGAAAACGGCCGTCGCCTTTTCACTTTCACTTTGTCGAATTTTGTTTCATACTCACTTTGATCGCCTTTCTGATGCACCTGGTTCCTTTATATTTTCTTACAACTCAGCCTGTTAGATTTCCAGGAGGCCTTGTCTTCTTGAGTTTTAGCAGGTTTGAGCAAACTGGAGTGCATGCCTTCTGCATGTCTTCTTCTAACCTAACACTGGCGCCAAGCGAAGTAAATGACAACGATTCCAGAGTAGCACGAAAGGCTTGCTGGCTCAGTGCTTGCTGCGCAGCAGGCATGTGAGTTATTTGTGCGTGAGAGTCCCGTGCGCAGCAAAATCCCAAAATTGAAATTTGAAAATGTTGTTTCGTTGTTTCTTTGATGTTTTGTCTACTCGTGCGCGCGTGAGTTCCTGTTCTTCGTGCCTGGTCCCTCTAAGGCATGGCCCAGAGTCTAGGAGTTTTGGCGTAGACGCGTTTGGTGATTCGTTTGGGTGGGTATACTTAGATAAATTAATATGTGGGTTCTCGGTTCGCATTTGTTCAGTTGGACCAAGCTGACAATTTTATGTTGGGCTAATAGAAACGCTGTGCTCGAATTCTTTCAGATTGTTCTTTTTTCAGACTGTACGCTTGAAGAGTTCAGAAACGCTCTTGTATGTGTCAATGATGTACAGAAACTGCCCGGCCGAATGTTCTGACCGTTTGACAGGGCACACGCAGCACAGGCACCAGTAACGACACAAGAGTAGAGTTCATGCTATTTAGGCAGCGCTTGTTGTTTAAAGAACTTCCTCATGTTCGTTGCAAAGCGCTGGCACTGAGGAACCCATGTGTTTTTCTGGTCATGTTTGCATATTCACTCAAAAACTAAGTACCTTTGCCAAGTAATTCCTGTAGGTCCAGCAGGCCATGGTTTTGTTGGCACTTGTTTGCCAGCATGCTCGGAAGAGACACATGACTGCAAAGGGAGAATCTGCAAGACGGGTTCTTCCAAGGCCAAATTGGTTCACTTCAGTTGTGGCTAAGCACGAGCTGTCCCATTTGTTGGCATCACGCCACGGAACAACCTCAAAAGAGCATGAATCCAAATGTGTTGCGATCGCCTCAATAGCACCAGGCCGCGAATACCACGGACCTTTAACCATGTGGACAAAGGAAGAGTTGCTGTTGTGGGAACATGTTGGGCGGCCTCGTGATGCGTTTTCTGTGAACATACGCGCTGCAGTATTTTTGGACCCAGGATTGAATGTGCGCAACCCGCAAAGGAAGAAGGTTCCTCTTTGGGTTCCAGGTGTGCCTCTTGATGTACAGAACATGCAAGCCAGGCAAATCCCTGTTTACGGAGATGCCAATCGTATCGACAAAACACTTGTGCTTGAAACTTTAGGGGTTAGTGACGCTGAGCTTCGTTCGTTCGGAGAAGACCCAATATGCCTTGCAGTGCCAGCTGTGCTCGTAGAACTTGTCAAGCATAAAGATTGGGAAGCTTTAGTCCTACAGGGGAGATGGGTCGAAACATTGCAAAGACAACCCGCTTTCAAAAGATTCGTTCAAGAACTTGGCCTGCCACGCCAGATGTGGCTCGCGCAGTTGCAGCAGCTTGAGCAGTTGAGGGGTTTTGTGCCACAACCTGGGAGTCATTTCCAATTTACACCAGCATTTGCAGAGGCTTTGGCCTTGGAATTGTGTTCCTTGTTCGATGGCCGATTGGATTGCAAGCTTGAAGGTGACCAAACCAAATTCAGAATGTTCATGGAAGAAACCGTGTTGCGCTTGCGGCATTTTTCTGCCCAGCAGTCCACGCCACAGTTCACCAATGCAAAGATCGATCCCAATGCCATCGTAAAAGCCTGTCTTGCAGCTATGAACCTTCGTGATCGCAGTCAGCTTGGGGAAACATTCAAGCTTGCTTTTGAGAGCCGCTTTCCTGGCCAAAGCCTCGATGCATATGAGAACACCAAGCTGTTGTCGGCAGCCACTATTTCCAGGAAGCAGATTGAAGTTGATGCTGCATACTGTTGCTTTTGGCGACAGCACCTGTCTGCTCACAAAGGCCCAATTTATGTGTGGGCCGATGCCAGCCCACAGGCAGGATCGGACTGGTTGCTTTCGATCATCAGTTTGATACAGGATTGTGATCTTCCAGCGTGCGTGAACGCTGCCACATCCTTGGCATCGTCCGTGAGAGCCTTTCGCCAAGCACTTGCTATGGACGACAAGGAGGAAATGGTCCGACTGGCCAGAAAGCGCCACCAAGATGGCGAGTTCTTGCAAGAAGCAATGCAGTCACATCGACAAGTACCAATTGCCATAGGTTCCAGAGCCTCATCCATAGACTACAAACTGCGAGCAGTCTGCCGGAAATTTTGGGTTGAAGCTCAAAGCATGCCTTTGCTGGAGTCTTTGCTAGGTTCTGTAAGGGGATTTTGCACGGACCTGGGAACAGAGATGTCTTTGGCCGATGTTTCCGGAATCAAACTTGAGTCAATCTTACCAGCTTGGATTTCAGACTATGGTTTGCAAAGTGAGGAGGGTGCAAACGCAGCCTTGACAGACTTTGTCTTTCCCAATGCCGTTTTTTTGCCCTGGAGTGCTCCATGTCTGTCATAATATGTCTTTGGAAGCAGACAGCTCCTTGACTTTTTGGAAGGCATGGCTTCCAGGTTACAAGGCTGTGTCGACTTTGCTACACCACGACCACCTCCGCAAACAATTGATTGGCCTGTGTATCAAGGGGACACCGTTCGAATGGATGGAGGATCTCTTTGCTCAAGGAGTTCCAAGACCAGCTACTTGGAGATGGAATACAGTGGCCAACTCGCTCCCAACTATTCTCTCACGCAAGCATGCCTTGCAAACTGTTTGGGACCAAAGCCGCTTTCAAGGGTCAGGCAGGCTTCTGGCCATGTTCATGTGTTTCAATTGACAGGGTTTAATTTGGTTAATTCAACTAGTGTTTTGGTAGTTGTTTATGCGTTTGTGCTCTGGTGCGTGTGTGTGTGTGCCAGGTGATCCAGCAGGAGAAGCAGGAGATGCAAATGGAGAGGACTCGGACCGGCTTGATGTTGCTCTTCTGACTACCACCATTCGCAGCGAGTGGTGGTGGTTTTATGCGCAGATGATCCTGAGGCTGAATAGCTTCAGTTCCGATTTCAGCTCCTGGTGTGAAGGGTGCGAATGCCATTTCTGGTTGAAACCAAAGTATGTCCAAAGCCATGCAGGCGGACGGTCACGGGCAGTCTATTCGGATGAATGCGAGCAATTGCGTGCAGCAAGGAAGTCTCAAGGCTTTCAGTCTGGCCATGGAGACGGCCCTGAATTCTCGCCTTGCCCTCTCGCTGGTCGCAGGGCCCCTCAACTTGCTGCAGGCGCTGCTGAATCCTACATGGAAGAACTTGGTCGCTCATACTTGTTGGAGCTCATGGAATGTTGTTCCTGCACGGATCCAAGCGAGACTGACCAAGTGTTGTCTGATTTCTCCCTGGGCAAAGCAAGCATGATCTCCTACCTGGCTCAGAAGCTTCAGTGCTGGCGAGTGTTGCCTTGGAGGCTGGCTGCGCTGTGTGTGGAAGATGTGGACGAAGCCCGCCGACACGCAAAGGAAGCGCTGGATGAGTTTGTCAGGCCCCCTAGTTGCTGCAAACAAAACAAAGGTTGATGCCACCCATTGATATTACTTGGACACTCTTTTTGTTGAAAGTCTTGTACAGGAGGCCCTTTTACAATGAATTTGGGACCAAGTTTTTAGCATGCCTTCTAGGTCAGGTGGTCTGCCCAAACTTGTGTGTGTTTTATATTCAGACCAAGGACCGGTCTTTAGTGGATCTCTCACCCTGTTTTTATTCCGGCCCAACGTTTCTAGTTCTGGTGGTGAAACGGTGGTTTTGATGTTCTTCTGAACTGGTTTGGTTTGTTGTTTTTTGCTTTGATGTTTGGTCCTCAGGGCGCCTGCAAATCCGGACTTACACCACCGGCTGACATGGAAACATTTGCAAGTTGGGTCCGCCACTCGATCTCAGCTCGAGGAGTTCATTGGTGGGCAAGACCTCACATGCTTACCAGACTTGTTCAAGCTAGTGTCAGAGATGAGGTTTCTCCCTGTGGTTGAGAGAATCCAAGAGGGAGATCATAGCATTGTCAACCGCATGGTTCAGAACCGGCGTGTCAATGGGCCTTACATTGCCTGCGCCATCCGCATGCCTGAAGTCAAGGCAATTCTTTCTTCAGCAGAGAAATACTCCAGCTTTCTAGGCAAGTTCGAAGAGATCTCCCAGCCAGATCACTTGGCGAAGCGGTTCGGGTTTTGGAGGCACCCTCTATGGCAGAATGCTTGTGCTGAAAAGTTTGGCAAGCGGAAGAAGATGGCTTTGGTGAGCTCTTTTCTTTATTCGTTGGATGTCGAGTCACAATACGCCAACCTGACGTCAATGAAAAAAGCACGTGAAAAGCATGCTGCAAAGAGAAAGTCTATCCAAGAAAAATGGATGGCATATTTCAAGCCCAAGAGAAGGTTTAGTGAAGCTGCAGTTGAGAGGTCGGCCATGGCTTCCCATCTGCAAACACACCTTGTGATTGGGAGGCTCTATAGTGTTGGGTCTGACGTGGCGTTGCCATCCTTGGAGCAGGCCTTGAAGCCTGCCCATATGCAAGCTGTCCTGCCTTTGACTGATCAGGGTGCAATGGATTCGCTTTTGATATCTGATGCCCACGGTGTAGTGCAAGATGAGCTTGTTGATGGTGACCAACCCCTTGAGACATTGTTTTTCAGAATCACTTGCGCCCGGCCCAGCAGACGGAAGCTGGTCCAACTTCCTGCAGCCAGTTCCTCTCGCTTGGGGCCAGAGGATTTGTGTGTGACCATCCACCCAGCCTGGCTAGTTTCATCCCGATGATACGTTGATGCGGAGCCTACAAAGGCCGAGGGTGTGAACATGCCAATTGGAATCCTGTCGGCTTGCAGAGCGAACCCTGACCTCTTGAGGGAATCCTTGACATCATGGTCAACTGTCAAGGAGTTGTCTTTTGTGCTGGCCAAAGGTGAGGCTTCCATGAATGCCCAGGTGATGAAACTTTTGCAGCGGTTTGTCCAGGCTAAGGCCTTCCCATGCCAGAATGAATCAACCCATGAGCCTAGACATTTGAAGCTTCAGTTGGATTCGGCTGACTCGCAGTTCAAAGATGCTGCTGAAGCTTTGCTAAATTTGAAGGCAATTGAAGTTTGTTCCGAGGGTGCAGAGCGAGAGTGGAGATTGACTTTGTCTGGTCTCCAGCAGTTGCGTCATGTGCACATGTCCAGTGTTCCCACGCCTGTCTTCAGAAGTCCAGAGGCGCTTGCAGATTTGCCTTCCGAAGATTGGGTAGCTTGTAGTTCCTGGGAATTGTTCACTTTGCTAAAGCACCATGGTTGGACGCTGAGGCAGGCACCATCCACTCGTGCACGCAGACAGGCTTTAATGCCACATAAGCTGAATGCCGATGAACTCGTTTGGTTTTTGCCAAGTACCGCTGTGCACCCTCATTGGTGCTATATGCTGGCTCTTTTGAAGTCCACAAGTTTGTTTCAGTCTGGCGATTTGGAGGTGCTGCATCATTGTCAGAGCAAAGCCTACTACACAAAAGTTTTGGAAAGGAAACATCGTGGGCATGTGGCATTGCCAGACAAGTCGTTGATTGACCGCCCTGATCCCAAGCTCGTGCTTGAGATTGATGTGGACCCTGATGCAGTGCCGAGCCCAGCCGGAGGAGACCCGGTTCCAGCCCCTCGATTGAATGCGCTACCCCCTCATGAAGAGGCCCGCAGCGACTGGCAATCAGGTTTTGCAGGTTCAACTGTTTGCAATGGGCTTTTCTTTGTCACTAATTCAGTACCAGTTTCTTAAAGGCTGTCCGCTTTCAGGTCATGTGAAGAGGTTTTATCAACAATGCGTTGAGGGTGACAAGCGCTTCATGTCCTTGTTTGCAGGCCAGCGAGGGTGAGTTGAACTTGACCCATACCAGCGACAGCTTTGGTGAGGACCTTGCACTTGGATCTTTGTCTGATGAGTCTGGGCGGGATGATGGTCCTGTAGAGGTGGGCGGTGAAGCTGAAGCTGAAGTTCTTCGTGTTCAGTCCAATGACCCAGAAGAGTCTAGGTCACTTGCAGCCGGGCCAGCTCAAGATGTGACAGGGCCGGTTTCACATGGAAGTGGGCCACCGCCGATGCCCAGTAGTGCAAGTTCAGACATGCCAGAGGGCCCATCGCTGCCTTCAGCTTCTGGCATAGTGCGAGTTGTAAACCCAGACACCTTCACATGGGGCCCTCATTTCCGTTTGACATTCTCTGATAAGAGCAGTAAACCTCCTCACGGGCAATGGCAAGCCACTTGCAACTATCACAAACTGAACGAGAGAACTGGTTGCAAGCGAAGTTTGTCTTTGGGCAAGGCTGGACACAGCAAAGACCTTTGCAAACGTGTTTTGATGCAGTGGTGCTTGGCTGCTCCATTGTGCACAACAAAGAAAGAGCACTCTGCCCAACCACTGAACGTAGACGATGCCTTGGATGCTGCTTTGCTGGAAGCAAGGTTGAGAACTTTGCCGCCTCCGCCCGCACGCATTCGCACCGATGAAGAAATCGAGATGGATCAAGACTCCGAGGGTGGTGATCCAACATCCAAGAAGAAGCGTTCTATCAAACCGAAAGCTGCCAAGAGCAAAGCTAAAACGAAAGCTAAGGCCAAGCTGCAAAAAACTGCAGCAAAGCAATCTGAAGCAGCCGCTTCCAGCCAGAAAACCTCCGGTTCTTCCTCCTCTAGCTCCAGCACGAGCACATCCAGCTCAAGTTCCGATTAGCCGACCAGGCTTGGTTGAGCGGTGGTCATTTCATAGTACTCGGAGTGCTGACGTTGCATTTGATATATGTTTGTGGGGGAAGTCGCACGCAAGACATGCCTTGCTTTGCTTCTGTGAGCTGCCAACTTTATGTTCTTGTGGTGTAAATGTATTTCTTGCCAACACTGACCTGACCTTTTTGTTGTCACCCAGCAAACTACCGACCAGTTTCTGTCAGAGAAGAATGGTAGAGCAATGCCAGGAACCTGGGATGATGCGCTGCCAAAAGCTGGTATCAGGCGCAGAGTTGGTCATTCATGCAACCTGCACAGAGTTCAGATGCTGAACACTTAAGGCTAACAATTTGGCTAAACCTAGCAAAGAACCTGGGCTCAGAAGGCGCAACAAATCTTTGACGGTGTGTGACACTAGGTAAAGAAACATGGAGGAGCTATGGCAATTTTTCTTGGGTTCTAGATTCTAGATTTCTTGATCAACCAATTCCATAATATTTTGGTTTCAGTGTTATCAGGGACACCCCTTGCGTTGAGCTGCCTGATGCGCGCTTGGGCGCTTAATGTTTTGGGAAGACAGTTGAACATCCTATATAATTTTACCGTTTTCTGGCACAAGTTGTGAAGTGAATGCAATCAACCGATTGAGGGGTTTTGTGTGCACTCATTCCAGCCCACCGGATCTTATATGATCTCACAGCGAAAGTTTCAATTGAGTTTTGGTTCAGATTTGATTTTGCCAGGCTTGCCCCTGGGAACTTTACTTCGCAAACGCGAGCAAAGATCCACGCAAGGCCTTGCAAGGTCTCACGCGGCCTTATCAGCAGAAAACAGAAGACATTTCACCGTTCAGACCAAACCCTGGCCAAAGATGTTGTCTTGTGAAAAAAAGCATTGCCTTTTGATAGTTTCATTTTTTGGATAATTTTCTGGGGGCCTATTGCTTTCGGACCTGGCTCGGACCCGGCTCGGACCCGGCTCGGACCCGGCTCG